CTGCACCAGTTTTCTGCTTTGGGAGGAGGATACAAATTTAATTTGTAAGAGTACCAGTTTGCATTGAAATCTGAACTTTTTGTAAAATTAAAAATGAGCACACATTCTTCACACGCAAGCTAAAGTGGTTTAGGGATCCGGATACATCATATATATTCATATTCACACATACTTACATTCATATACACACATGAACACATATACGCAGACACACATATTCATATACATGCACAAATGGGCACATTAACACATACACACATGTGTGTAGAGATTAGTGCCACTAATAATATATTGGATTGCCTTCTTACCACCAGATGAGGACAAGAGGCTGATGATGGGCTCTGCATGGACAAATATACACACACATTGATATACATACACACATATACACATACTGACTCATACATACACAGACATTCATATACACATTCATAATTACATATAAATTTTTATTTTAATAAATAATAATATATATTTTTTTTAATCAAAGCTTTTTATTGAGCATACCCATCATGAGCATATACATGATGTGATAAAGGTATGTCAAGTATAGGGGGGACAAAGGTCCCGCAAGCAATATCAGCAGAGCATAGAGTGATTGATGATATTCTTACAAATATATTTCCATCATGTCTGTACGTCATGGTTTGGCCTCATAAAGTGTGATTTATGGTCAAGAAAGAATAGCAGTTTACCCATTGTACACGTTAGTGGATAGGTTACATGCATGTGAGCTAACAATAACCTAATAGGAATGACTCACAGGTATATATTATATAATGCGAACAATATGCATCATTATGGTGTATGGAGTGTCTGACAGCCACGTGTCAGCGAGTATAAAATTCTTACACCCCTTTCCTGCTAAGCAACGATTGTATTAAATAGAAGAGGGAAAGAGAAGAGAATGAAAGGAAAGGGCTGTAAGTGAAGAGGGAAGAGAGAAAAAAGGGGAATAAGGGGTAAAAAAAAAAAGGTATGGGGAGGGAGCAGGGCTGGTGCAAGGATTTTTGCCGCCCTAGGCAAAAAAATATTTGCCACCCCCCCCGCCCATATGTCCTGCCCACCACGTGACATCACAATGCCCCGCTGTTGTGGTCGTGACCTAAATATGAATATTAATCTCTTAATACAAAATAATTAAGCAATACGGAACAACATTAATATTTTTATAATTCGTGGTATTATGGTCGAATATGCGGATAGAAAATACACAAAACGTTGTAATATTAAATGTATATTTAATATAACTATAACAAATAAACAGATGCTAGTGGAATGTCAATTTCAATAATTATACAATACAATACTACACAAAACACTATTGGTTGCTAAATATTATACAAAAGGCTATTACAATTGCTAACTGTTACAATGGATTCATATTACTTACAAGGCCCCAGCCAAAGGGCTGGGGCTAAGTCAGAGCTGGTGCTACATGATCAGTCAGGTACAGGCAAACAGAGAGCTAGCTTCTCCTCACATCTGGGTTTTATTCAGTGTAAGTAGGCTGGCCTGTGATGTCACTGCCAGAAGCACAGGTCTTCCTACACACTCCCCCTAATGGTGCCCCCAAAGCATTACACTAAATATGCTTTACTGACATCTAGTGGTGCGTCTAAAGCATTAAGCTCATTATGCTTTTTTTTTATGACAAAAAGTCATTAATTAATAAATACCATTACACCCGCCCATATGCTCTGCCATATGGGCCAACGCCAGTCTTCACAAAGTGTCTTTTATCTGAAATGACAGTGTGTTTACATTAAAAAGCCTACAGGCACAGGCTATAGACACCAGAACCACTACATTAAGCTGTAGTGCTTCTGGTGACTATAGTGTCCATTTAATGTGAGGTAAATTAGAGATTAGTGCCACTAATAATATATTGGATTGCCTTCTTACCACCAGATGAGGACAAGAGGCTGATGATGGGCTCTGTCTGGCTCCACAGATCTGGTATAGAAGAGGCTCTCTGGAGACTGTTTTTAACAATCTCACAACAATTAACGAACAGGAAGCAGCTCCATTTTTTTATTGTCTCTTACACAGCTCAAGGTCTGGGCCCCCAGGGCTTGACCGTGAGTATGCTTACAATGCCCACCCATAAATCCACCTACATGGCCCACCCTTGAGTTCTCTCACAGGAAGTGGAGTGTGTGTGTGTAGGGGATGTTTTATGTGTTATTGTAGAGGATGCAACGTGTGTGTGTTCTTATAGAATGTACTGTATAGGGATACCAATTTCTGTAAGGGATGTAGTGTGTTTATAGGGGATGCAGTGTGTGTTTGCGTGTAAGGAATGCATTGTATGTTTCTGGGTGTGTGTAAGGGGTGCAAGGTGTGTTTCTGTGTATTTAACTGAATGCAGTGTGTGTCTGTAAGGGGTGCATTGATTGTGTAAGAGATACATTTTGTTTCTGTGTGTAAGAGAATGAGTTTGTGTGAACGTAAGGGATGCGTTGTGTGTTTCGGGTGTGTCTGTGTGTGAGTAGGAATGCATTGTATGTTTCTGTGTGTGTGTGGGGGGGGATGCATTGTGTATGTGTGTAGCGTAAAAGAGAGGGTTTGTGGGGTAGGACAGGGACTGAGAGGGGAGCAGCTCTTTATTTTTTTTTATTTTTTTGCATAGTGCTCACCCTCCTGTCAATTATTGGATTTCCCCTTCCCTCCTGCCCCTTAGTGCTCTCCCTTGGCCCCCTGTAGTCCCCCCTTGATGGTCTTCTCACTTCCCCCTCTCCCCCTTATTGGTCCTCCATCCCTCCCCTTAGTGGTCCTCCCTCTCCCAAACCCCTTAGTAGACATTCCCCTCCTCCCCCAACCCCCTTAGTGGTAATCTCCCCCCCCTCAGTGGTCATTATCCTCTTTCTCCCCTTAGTGGTCCTTACCCTCCTCCCTCTCCTTGAGTGGTCCTCCTAACACTTGCCCCCCTTTGGTGGTCCTTTCCCCCTTAGTGGTCCTCCTCTCCCAAAC